GACTAGTATTCACAGTTATTTAAGATACATTCAATATATAAACCGCAAATATTTCAACCATATTGATTATACACAATAAGACAAAGGCCGAGCAATTACAAAATTTCGCGCAAAGATAAAAAGTCCGTACTTACAATCAGATGTCAATTCTTCTTTGAAATGACGCTCACATAGGAAAATCTTATTTTCCTCGATTTTCTGCTTCAGTTCGGGAGTATCCATGTACTATGTAGCCATTCTTTACGCGCAATCTCCTTCGAAGCTTTCGTCTCTTCACGCCGGGTCAGCTCTTCCCAAAAATCGGCCACCTGATATAAACTTTTTCAATATATTTCGGATGGACATGAAACTTGCTACATCAATATAACTTTCCATTCCGAACAATCGTATGTTTTTTATTTTTGAGATTTAACGGGTTTTGGCGGGAAAATGACGTCACGAAACCTCCAGTTAAAATTTACTTTCAATATCTTAATAGTTTTGTCGCAGAATTTGGAAGAACATGTCATGAACAGTTCAATACTGAAAACGGATTTTAAATATCTAAACCTAATCCAAAGTTATTTCACTATAAAAACCGTGAAAAATCTAAAAATAGTAACAAAATGGTGGAAAATTCGATTCTAAACTCACTGTATCTCGTGATTAGATTAAGATATTTAAAATCTCTTTTCAGTTTTGAACTCGTCATGACATAATCTTCCACATTCTGCTTAAAAACTATTAAGATATTGAAAATAAATTTTAACTGGAGGTTTTGTGACGTCATTTTCCCGCCAAAAACCGTTAAATCTCAAAAATAAAAAACATACGATTGTTCGGAATGGAAAGTTATATTGATGTAGCAAGTTTCATGTCCATCCGAAATATATTGAAAAAGTTTATATCAGATGGCCGATTTTTGGGAAGAGCTGACCCGGCGTGCTTGTCAGTTATCCACTCTAGGTCAAGGTAACTTAAATAACGAAAGACCACTCTTTCGACTTGTCAAACAGCCATACTTTTAACAGTTGGAACCCTGCGTAGCGTAGCTACTGAGATTTTTCTAAAATTCGCCAGAAAAAGCAGTTAATTCGAAGGTTTTCGGCGTAGAAGTGCGTCGCCGCTCATATTGTAAAGCATTCATTGTTTATCGCTGATGCACTAAAAGCGTCACGTGACCTCAATAATCGAGAACAATAACATATTTTGGAGGGCGAACGTTAACGTCGACATTAATGTTACTAACAGAGCGGCGAACAAGCCAAGAGATTTGTTGGCTGCTGAGGTTTGTGCAACTACCTGGGACTTCCATGACAAAGTGTTGGTTACCCGTACTCCAAGGTCACATTCTTCGTCGAGTCTTCCAATGGGCTTACCATTTACAGCATACTCATGGATTAAAGGTGATCTTTTCCGAGTAACTGTCTGACAATTTGTTTTAAGTTCGTTGAAGTTTAACCCTGATGATGTTGACCATGTGCTAAGATTATTTAAATCGTTTTGCAGTAAATTCGCGTCCGTTTGGTTGTTAATAGTTTTAAATAGTTCAGTATCATCAGCAAAACAGGAAACGGAAGAAGCGATGACAGATCATGTATATCATTAACGTAGAGAAGGAATAGTACAGGTCCAAGAATAGAACCTTGAGGTACGCCTGAAGTAACTGCGAGGGAAGATGAAGTACCGCCAGGAACAGTAACACGTTGTTTCCGTCCGGATAGATAAGAAGAGAACCAAGAATGGAGGTTTCCCCTAATATTAATATTTTGTAGTTTGTCCAAAAGTACACCATGTCGAACTCTGTCAAATGCTTTCCTCATGTCCAAGTAAATTATGTCTGTCTGTTTTCCGTTGTCGAGTTGTTGGCCAATGCACTCCAAGACCTGTACTAACTGCGTTAATTGTGCATGATCGACCAGGTATAAAACGGTGCTGATTATCACTAACATATTGAAGCAAATGGTCTCTTGTTTTGACTAGTACGCAACGTTCGATAACTTTTGATATATTTGACAAAAGAGAGATAGGTCGATAGTTTGAGAAATGATCACGCTTCCCCTTTTTGAACACTGGTACGATGTTGCTGATCTTCCAATCATCAGGAAGGGAACCAGATCGTAAAGAGAGATTGAACAGTAGGCACAGGGATGGGGCTATTTATTCGGCAGTTTCTTTCAATATCTTATTAGAAATACCATCAAGCCCTGTAGCTTTATGTTCATTTAAAGAATGTAGTAAAGGGAGAATATCATCTACGGTGAGTTCAATATCTGTTAGGCAGTTTTCATCAGTGATTGTGGTTTCGTTTGCTGGGTGTGTTTGGTCTTGGTGTAATACAGAAGCAAAAAACGTATTAAACAGATCAGCAATCGAGTTAGGATCGTCAACAGCAATCGTGTTATCGTTGTCGGAACTTTTCAATGTCATACGTTGTGGCAGGCTAGATTTTTTAGATGCGTATTTGAATAAGGACCAAAAGGGCTTAGGGTTCGAATTAAGTTTTGTTGCTATTGAAATGAAATAATTCTTGCGTGCATTTGCAATCATGTGCTTAACACGAGATTTCAGTTGTTTGAATTTATTACGCAATAGTTCGCTTCGATTGAATTTGAGTTTTTTTCGGATGGTATTCTTTACGTGCAATTCATGTAAGATTTCACCAGTGAGCCTAAGTGGGTTCCTTTTTCTTTTGAGCGTTTTAGTTTTTACATAACGATTAATTTAATCCCGTGCCGACTAAAATAATATACTGTTACGGCATATATCAGAAAGAATTCGAACAAATGTTACAATCAATGTCTAATTTAACTCTCGTGGAAGGATTTCCCGATAATTTGTGCGAGATGACCCGCGGACATGATAAATCGTTAGTCGTGCTCGATGACTTGATGTCACAATGTTCCAACGACCCACGTGTCTCGGACTTGTTTACACGTGATTTCCATCACCTTGGCATGTCCGTGCTGTACCTTACCCAGAATTTGTTCCCGCAAGGCGAACGTTCTCGAACGATTAGTTTGAACAGTCACGTTCTCATCGTGTTTACAAACCCACGTGACTCGCTTGGTGTTTCCACGGCCACACTTGCCAGACAGATGTTTCCTAAACATGCCGGATACCTTCTGGAAGCATTTCATGATGCGACGAGCAGGCCTTATGGATATTTAGTCATCGATTGCCATCAGTTGACACCAGAGAACATGCGTTTGAGGACCAACATTTTACCCGAAGAGAGACAGATTGTTTATGTGAAACGTGCTTAAAAGCTGAACGTGTATTGAAAACGGATCATTTTCAAGATGTCGAAGCGCATGAAAGGAAGTCTACCGTATCTTCAGGTCATGGGGACATGCGGACCTAGGCTATGTAAATTCATGATCAACAACGTTCCCCCGGAGGTCATCACCGCTATCTGCGAGTGTTCCTTGAATTTGCTTAAAGGTGTCATCCCATTATCACCTCGTCAAAAGCGACGTTTAGCGCGTTACAAGACACACCTCCGTGATCTGGCCAATAAGAAAGTGTCCAGAAAACGGAAAAAGCAACGCCTTAATCAAAAAGGTGGAAATTTTTTTGTCAGCTCTCTCACCACCAGTGTTGAGTGTACTCGGAAGTTTGTTAGTATGAAGCATGCGAAACGCATGGTATTGGTCCCGGAGGACGTGCTTAATCGTTATGAGCAGAAACAAAAGATTGAGACCTCCCGAATTACAGCCAACATGATGCACCAGGATACGGCGATGTCAGAGATTCTTCAGAGTACAGACATATCCAATGCCGAAAAACAGAAATTGTACAATGCGAACATGGAAAGTTATCTGAATTTGAGGCGGCAGAAGGACGATCAGATACCTACAATCCGCATAGCACCGGATGCGGAACAGAAGTCCAAAGAGAGAGCGCCTTTATCTGATGCGGACGTGATCGGTCATTTACCTGTAACCCTGCGCCCGAAAGCCGTAACTCTTTTGAGACGTTTGAAAGTACGACCCGACGTTATTTCCTGGGACGAATCTGGTCATGTTAAAGTGGACGGCAAAGAGATTCCTGATTCGAATATATCGGATCTGGTCAGTGATGCCATGCGGGCACGTAGGAATTTTAATCCCAAGGGAGCGCAGGAATTCTTTCGCGGACTGTCAAAGATTAATGTACCCAAAGATATTGCAAGAAACACGGAAAGATGGAATCAGGTTCAAATGGGCAGTCCGTCTGGCGCGGAAGAGGTTGTTTTTAAGACACCGCCACCGAGACCACCGCCACCAACATCACCACGTGCAAGTCCCGCGAAATATCTCCGTGGTTTACTCAGAAGACAGACGGCGAAACCAAAACAATGGCTTCCTTATTAAAAAATGTTGTAACTGTTTGCATGTAATAATAAAATGTTTTTAAAACCAATTTTGTATTGACGTCAGTTCTTTGGGGCGGTATTTTTATGCACGGTTCGCATGTAGGACGTGAGTCTGTGCGCATGCGCAGAATAAAAAGAACACACGCTATAGTTTTTTACAACAATATTATTGAAAACATCTTTTTGCTGAACTGATTAAGGTTAACATTGGAATGTTTTAACAATACATTTTAACAAACTGGGATACTTTTGTATCATTTAAGACCGTATAAAGACACACAGACTGAACATTGGACAGAGCAGACGTGTATTTTGTGCTCCGCTACACGAGTGAAATTTGATCCATCGCCCGATTCGCTCGCTTTTAAAACTACGAAAATTTTATTCGAGACGAGAATGGTTTCATTTATTGATCATATAAGCTTTGCCTGGACTGGAGATTTTGATTCATTGAAGTTGTTAATCGCTGATGATCTAAAACTAGACGGCACTTGGGAACATCCCGGCGGCGACAAAAAGGTGTTTAAGTTTAATGACAGTTTGATCTCGTGGAGAAAAGGCAAAGGTCTCTTGCAGATTGAAGGCGACGAAATGGGTAAAGTGTATCAACATTTATGTAAAAAGATTTTGAATAGTCTACATTCAAGTGTTAAAAATGTAGTTATTTCGGACATGTCATGCCAGACGAATGTAGATACCCCGCGGCAGTCGTCTTGTCCATGTGCTGATGTTGTTTTCGACTTTGAGGAACTAAAATCGGGTCAAGAAATCAACAGAGAAATTATACAAACTTTGTCTCAAACTGTTGAACAATTAGTTGAGTTTATGGGCCAGAATAAAGGTGAAAAATCAGTTGAAAATGG